TAGGACAAGTTATAGACCAAAAACAATTTAAAAAAACTTTCATTATAGTCAAAGATGGATCAAGAAGTATTCTTCAAGAATTCAGGTGTGTGTTTTTTTTAGCAAAGAATCGTATATATATATTTTGTTTTCGACAAGCATTTTTTTCGACGAATCGACAAATCAAAGACTTTCTCTCAAAACTTTTAAAATATTTCTATAGATAAGCTTGATTTATTTTAATGCTGGAGGAAATGTAACACTGAGAGCATATTACGACAAATATTCCTCCTTTATTTAGGTTTGTAAATCTTTAACMATTTGGCTGTTTTTAACCAACTATCGTATGTTTTTCGTTCAAGAAAAGTGCAGCTTTGTTCGCCTCCTATCGCGGGGTCCCATCGGCAAACCAAAGAAGACTTTCATTTAGTAATTCTATATCAAATATTCACTGAACTGTTTATAAGCTGTTCGAGCTAGTATGATTATACAAATGAGCTTAAATTTGTGTTGTTAGATATGCTTTTCTATAAAGAACCAGAATTTCACTTTAAGAAGCTAAAAAGATATTCAAAAACATTTACAAATGCCAATTTACTGACAAAGAATTTTGGCGTCATTTTGTATTTTTCTCGACGAATCGACAAATCAAAGGACTGTCTCTCAAACTTTTGATATTTCTATAGATAAGCTTAATTTATTTTAATGCTGGATGAAATATAACATGAAGAGCATATTGCAACAAATGTTTGTCCTTTATTTAACTTTGTAATTCGGTTGTTTTTAACCAGCTATCGTATTTCAGTTCGTTCAAGACAAATGCAGCTTGGTTCGCCTCCTGTCGCGGGGTCCCATTGGCAAAACAAAGAAGACTTTCATTCAATAATTTTATATCTTTCTACAGATAATTTAATTAAATATCGAATGAATATAAAATTACACCAAATATTCAACTGTTTATTAAGCTGTTCGAGCTAGTATGATTATACAAATGAGCTAATAAATTTGAGTTGTTGAGATATGTTATTATATAAAGACCTTGTCTTTCACTTTAAAAAGCTAAAAAAAAAATATTCAAAAACATTTACAAATGCCAATTTACTGACAAAGAAATTAGTCATTTTGCATTTTGCATTGCATTTTGCATTGCATTGCAAGATGCATTATTTTCTATTTTGTCTCAGTGGTTTTTTCACAAGTTTAA